CTGCACTTCCAGGGACCCCAGTGACTGCCCAGGGGTGCCAGAGGCTGAGCCTGCCTGCCCCTATTGCTGGTGTCTGGTGCCTTGATGTGTATCAGCACATTCCCCACTTCCCACTCAGCAGGGCTGCAGCCCTAACCGGGAGCTGGTGTGGGCACATTCCCGTGCCACACGTGCCCTCTGCTTTCTCCTGATCCTGCTGCAGCCCTGCCCCGCACAGGGCATCCCTGCCCCGGGGCAGCATTCCCGAGGGGAAAGGTGACTCCCACACCTCTCCCACGGCCGGCTGGGACACTGCAAGGGAGCCCTTGGCACCTCCCTGCGCCCCAGCCCTGCTCTCACCTTCTGCCGGCTGGGGGTCAGGTCTTTTCCAAAGAGACAACTCGGAACTTCACTGGGAAAGGAAATGGAGATGGAGGAGCAGCTTCATCCGCAGGGAGGGGATTCCCCGTGGGAAGGTGGATGGAAACCCACCCTTAGCCCTGCCCTGCCCCTCAGGAGCCCTGGCAGTGCCCTGTGCCCGTGCTGGGCATCCCAGGACATCCCGGGATAGCCCCTCCTGTTTCCAGGCAGTGCAGGAGCAAGGCTCGGCCCCCTCACCCCTCTCCTCACACCCGGGGTGTCCCTCCTGCCCCCTCACCCTCCTGCCCAGGCTTGTAGACAGCCTTGTCCGTCTGGATGAGGATCCCGGGGCTCAGCGCTCTCAGCATCACCTTCCTCGACTCGGAGACATTCAGGGAACCTCCTTGGATGGAGACGTGCAGGGCCACGATCTCCTCCTTCCCTCTGGCGGGGGCTGGAGCCTGCGGGGGGATCACAGGCTCGGGGAGAGGACAAGGACGGTGCCCGCCCTGCACCCTGCAGCCTGCAGGCAGGATCACTCCAGCCGGGATAACCGCCTGAGCCTGCCTTTGTCAGTGCCACAAGATGGGGAAGTCACATCTGTCCCCAGTCCTGATGGAAACTGCCTGGAGGCCACCCAGGCCCCCCCTGCCTGCTCCCGGCTGCTTTGGGGTGACACCGGGGTGACACTCACAGGGAAGGTGACGTTCAGGTGCAGATGAGGCTCCAGGACCTTTCTCCTCAGCAGGGTGGTGGGAGGGGTCCTGCTGTCCCCCTGCAGCTGGACATGGACCTGGACGGGCCCCTGGAGGTCACTGAGGTGCACCCAGAGCGTGGCAGGGTGAGGGTGGTACAGCACAGCCGGGGACACCACCACGAAACTCCTGGCAGGGACAAGGGACAGGAGAGTCCTGGGGGTGAGGCACATCCAGCACGGCCCCACGGAGACCTGGAAAAGCCCCACGGAGCACAGGAACCCCCCCAGCCTCCCCTCTCTGCTTCTGGGCTTCTGGACCAAGGCTGGGTCCTCAGTGCTCCTGGGCAGGGAGACCCTGAGCAGCTGGGACACCTTGGCAGCACCCAGGGCACGGGAGGGATCGAATCCCACCAGGAACTGCAAGGAGCCAAGGTTCAACCACCCCAGCAGGCACAGCTGGACACAGAGGGGACTCACGGTGCTCCAGAGACCCCCCTGAGAGGAGCAGGATGGTGAAGAGAATGGGAAGGGCTGGAGACATCGTGTCCCCAGCTGGATGTGGATGTTGGGAACAGCCACAGCCTCCCCCTGCAGCTCTTGGATCACTCTGGCTCTGTGTCTGACCCGCTGCAGGCTCTGAAATGGGGTCCTTGTGTCCCACCCACAAGGAGAGCGGGGCTGGCACAGGAGCCCTGGGCACCTGCAGGTAAATCCAGGCAGTGTTTGCCCTCTGCCCACAGCCTCTGGGGGTCAGTGACTCCAGGGATGTTTGCAACACCGGGAAAGGTTCCTGGAGTTTCAGTCAGGGCCAGGACTCCACACAGATTTGCTGGGAAATGAAGTCAGAAGTCTGCAGGAACACAGAGAAAATGAAAACAGGGAGCACAACCTGAGGAGGAGCTGGGAGCTGGGGGTGATTTCTCAGAAATGAAAAATGTACGGGTATTTCAAGTTTAACCAGATTTGGGCAGATCCCATGTCCCCGGCTGCCTTTTTGCCCAGTTCCCTCCAGTCTGCACAGAGGAACAGTCCAGTGTGGGGATGTGGAATTGCTCATTGCTCCCATTCCACTCATGGGAGCTGCACACCTGCCAGGGCAGGGCCAAGCTGCTTCCTGTGGATTCTTCACTTCTTTTTTCTGTTAAGGTTGGGATTAAATGCACAAGACAGTATTTTTTGTTCAAACCCAAATGTTTATTAGTTCTTATCTATGTTACAGTCTCATAAACCATGAGTTCTACAGCACTTAACTCCAACAAGATGGAAATGAAGTCGTAGCTCTCTCTACAAAGCCTTTTGAGGATAAAATGTCCAATTAAGAAATGACACCTAAGTTATTTTCACTTTTAACCCAATAACCAACCACCCGTGCCCGCAATGTGGACTTTTTTATCCAATTACACAAAACCACCCAAACCCATGGAGAAGAAGGTGAAGAAGAAGGAGAAGGACCAGCCTCCACCCTAAAACCTCCATCTTGCTCTATATGTATTGCTGTATTCTAAACCCTTAAACTCTGAGTTTCCCTCAGGTGTGATATCACCCTGTGATATCACACACTTCTATCCAAGCTCCGGTCCCAGTTCTACCATTCCATTTTGGAAGCTTCTCCACGGCCTCAGGTCAGTGAGTGTTCTCCTGGGGGTCAGTGCCTGGCAGCACAGGAAGGCTGGAATTCTCAGTTTCCAGGGTTCCAAAGCTTCCCTCTGTCCTGGTGGGAATGTGGGATGGTTGAGGAGCTCCACGACGGCCCCACAGTGTCCTGAGCACATCCCCTGTCTGGGGCCGTGCAGTTCCCTTCCCTTTGAGGCTGTGGGAGCCATGGAATCATGGAATGGTTTGGGTTGGAAGGGACCTTAAAGCACTTCCACCCCTGCCATGGCAGGGACACCTCCCACTGTCCCAGGAGCTCCCAGCCCTGTCCAGCCTGGCCTTGGGCACTGCCAGGGCTCCAGGGGCACCACAGCTGCTCCGGGAATCTGTGCCAGGGCCTTACAGGAAGCCGTGGATGGGGCTGAGCTTTCCCATGGGATCTCAGATGACCACGGCTCCGTGCCCACCTCCCCACCCTTCGGAGCAGCCCCAGCGGCTGTGGGTGGCCGGAGGGGGCTGAACCTGCCACCCCCAAGGACACGAGGCAGGAGCATGGCCAGGTTCACCCAGTCCTGCCAGGAAGCGGGCAGGACTCAGTGTCCTGCCAGACATCCCGGATGGGACGAGGAGCTCACGGCTCCCGCAGCAGCGCCAAGGCCACCGTGACCCCTGTCCCCATGTGCCACATCCGCAGGGCTGTGAAACCCCTCCTGGGATGGGGACCCAGACTGCCCTGGGCAGCTGTGCCAGGGCTGGGTACCCAAAGCAGCCAGGCAGGGCAGGCCTTGGAGAACCAGAAAAAGCAAGGTGTTCCCAGAGCCCCCATGCCAAGGTTTTTTCCTCTCCTCAAGCTTTCACCTCCCACTGACAGTAGAAAATCCAGGGAGGGCTCTGGCTGGGCCCCAGCCCTCCAGGCAGGACAAGGTTTTGTCCAGAGCAGCTGTGGTGCCCCTGGAGCCCTGGCAGTGCCCAAGGCCAGCCTGGACAGGGCTTGGAGCAGCCTGGAACAGTGGGAGGTGTCCCTGCTCATGGCAGAACTGGATTTATGGTTCCTCCCACCCAAACCGTTCCATGATTCCATTGATGCTCAACCCCCCAAACCCAAACTTTGGGCCAGCAAACCACCCCCAGGGGTGGGGGTGTGGTGGGACCCCCAGGCCAGCTCAGAGCTGACAGACTATGCCACATGTTGGGAATCCTGGGAAGCAGGAAAGGATTAAAGGGGTTTTCTGGGACATGGGACCTTCCTGTGCCCTTGGCCATGTCCATGTGACAACTCCTGATCCCGTGGGTGTCTCTCATGGGAAGCCTCTTTGCTGTTTGGTGTTAGATGATTGCAACAGATCTGAAGGATTTCCTCCATAATCAGCTCTCCTGAGAGCAGGACTGGTGCCAAACCGGAGCTCTGTGCCCGTGGTTTGCACCTTTTATCCCAGCATGGGAGGGGAAGCCTTGCCCACCCTGCTCCCCACAAGGGGACAGCCACACCCTGCCCTGTCCCTGCCCTGCTGCCACCCTGGGGTGCTGGCACAGGAGCTGCTCAGCTGGAAAGGAGCCAGGAGATCCCAAATCCCTGCCTGGCTGCAGGGAACCATCCAGCTGTCAGAGGGGTCATGGTCCAGAGGCCATGGAGAGGAACCTCCAGGTGGGATTGTGTCCAGCTGGGCACAATCCAGGTATTGCTGGAAATTTGAGGCTTCAATGGGTGCTCTTCTTGTGCACTTACTGCACAGGGAGAGCTCTGCCTCAGGGGCAGACCCAGACCTGGGGAACCCTCACCCTGCCATGTGCTGCTCACACCATCCCTGGGGTGGAGATGATCCCTGCAGGGTGCTCTGTGTGCAGGGTGCTCCCTGTGCAGGGTGCTCTGTGTGCAGGGTGCTGCATGTGCGGGGTGCTGCATGAGCAGGGTGCTCTGTGTGCAGGGTGCTCTGTGTGCAGGGTGCTGCATGTGCAGGGTGCTCTGTGTGCAGGGTGCTCTGTGTGCAGGGTGCTCTGTGTGCAGGGTGCTCTGTCTGCAGGGTGCTCCCTGTGCAGGGTGTTCTGTGTGCAGGGTGCTCTGTGTGCAGGGTGCTCTGTCTGCAGGGTGCTCTGTGTGCAGGGTGCTCCCTGTGCAGGGTGCTCTGTCTGCAGGGTGCTCCCTGTGCAGGGTGCTCTGTCTGCAGGGTGCTCCCTGTGCAGGGTGCTCTGTGTGCAGGGTGCTCCCTGTGCAGGGTGCTGCATGTGCAGGGTGCTCTGTGTGCGGGGTGCTGCATGTGCAGGGTGCTCTGTGTGCAGGGTGCTCCCTGTGCAGGGTGCTCCCTGTGCAGGGGTGAAGTCTCCCCAGGAGATGGATCTCCCTCAGCCCCCTCAGCACAGCCAGGACACAGCACCAGCTCCAGACTCTTTAATGTCCCACCCTTGGCTCACAGCTCAGCACCAAGGATGCTCTCCTCCCCCCGTGGGATGCTCTCCCCACCTGGAAAACTCCCCTGGATCTTGTGTCCCCCCCAGGCCACACAGTCTGGGCCCCTCCCCTGAGCTGGCTGCAGCCAAAGGGCATTTCCAGCTTATGGGAGCCTCTGGAAGGAGAATCCATGGGGAACCCAACAATCAGGAGGGGAAAACGGGGCTGTGAACCCCCAGCCCTGCCTGGAGCATCCCTGCCCTGCCCAGCGAGCAGGCGGGAGCCATCCTGGGGGACAGCCACAGCTCCTGGGGGACAGCCACAGCTCCAGGGGGACAGCCACAGCTCCTGGGGGACAGCCACAGCTCCTGGGGGACAGCCACAGCTCCAGGGCCGGCAGAGGGACAGCCAGGGGATGCACAGTCACAACGAGGGGTTTTAGGGGGCACCTTGCTCTGTTTGTTGGGGCACTTTGCTCTGTTTTGGGGGCCACTTTGCTCTGTTTTGGGGGTGCTGCCTGGTCCCCATCCTGCCCTGCTCTGCTCCCCTTAGGACACCGTCCTGCTGGGGCGGTGGCAGGGCTGCAGGACACCTCCTCAGGGGACAAGGGACACCTCCCTAGTGTCCCCGAGGGACTCACTCCCTCTGCCTATTTCCTGCTCCTGGCTGTGTCCCCCTGGCCCTGGGGGCTGCCCCTGTCCTCCCCTGGCCCCAGCAGAGGCTGCTCCATGTCCTGATTCCCGTGGTCACTCATGGACATCTCGGCCAGGGCCTCAGCCATGGCCTGGCGGACACTCTCGGTCAGTTTGGGGACGTCCTTTGGGCTCAGGCCCCACGTTTCCACCCTGGGGAGGACTCGGATGGTGCAGGTCCCTGGGAGAGGAGGGAAAAGCCAGGGATGTGTTAGAGGATTCTACCAGGAACTGGGAATTCTCCCAAGCATCTTCCACCCCAGCTGCCTCTCCACCCCTCAGCGTCCCTCAGGCACCCCCAGGCGCCCATGCTCAGTGCCAGCCCTGCCCTCTGCCACAGGAATTCCTGCCCATCCCTTACCAGAGGTGAATCTCTTCTCCTTGGGGCTGAAGAAGTCCCAGTATGGAGAGATCACGATGGGGACAATGGGAACCTGCAGGACATGGAAGGTCAGGGGTGCCCCCAGAGAGAGCCCTCCCCAGGTGGGACTCCTGCTCCTCCCTGTCCCTGCCTGGTGCTGCCTAGCACCATGGCTATCCCTGGGGTCCAAATCCCTGCAGCCCTGGGGACCAAACCTCCCCATCCCTGGGGACCAAACCTCCCCATCCCTGGGGACCAAACCCCCCCATCCCTGGGGACCAAACCTCCCCATCCCTGGGGACCAAATCCCTGCATCCCTGGGGACCAAACCCCCCCATCCCTGGGGACCAAACCTCTCCATCCCTGGGGACCAAATCCCTGCATCCCTGGGGACCAAATCCCCCCATCCCTGGGGACCAAATCCCCCCATCCCTGGGGTCCAAATCCCTGCATCCCTGGGGACCAAACCCCTCATCCCTGAGGACCAAGCCCCTCATCCCTGAGGACTAAATCCCTTCATCCCGGGGGAATAAACCTCCCCATCCCTGAGGATCAACCCCCCCATCCCTGAAGATCAAAGCCCCCATCCCTGGGGATCAACCCCCCCATCCCTCTGCCCCATGGTTCACACCCACCCTACTCCATCCAGGGTGAGCCAAAGGGGAAGGAATGATTTTGGAAAAGGCCTCTAAGACCATTGAGTCCAACATTTGATTGAAATAAGGATGCCCTTACCTGGGCCTGCACGGCCAGGTGGAAAGCCCCACGCTTGAAGGGCAGCAGGGATTTGCCCGGGTTCCTGGTGCCCTCTGGGAAAACCCACACACTGAGCTGCAGGGGACAGGAACAGAGGTGTCTTAGGTCACAAGATGTGGCTGGGTGTGCATCCATTGCCATCTGTCACAGCTGGGGCTGTTCTCTGCTGCTCTTTGGGCACTTTTCTTTATCTCCCCCACAGCCAACCCTCCCTCCAGGAGATCTCTGCTGTCCATGGCCACTGAGTGTCCCTGCATGGCTGAGAAAATTCCATCATCCATGGGGAGAGGCTCTGCCCAGGGGAGGAGCCAAACATTCCTACCTGGATACAATCTGACCTGGGAACAGCACAGCAGCCTTTGCCCCCTGCATTCCCAGAGGAGCAGCTTTCTTCCCACTGCATTCCCAGAGGAGCAGCTTTCTTCCCACTGCATTCCCAGAGGAGCAGCTTTCTTCCCACTGCATTCCCAGAGGAGCAGCTTTCTTCCCCACTGAATTCCCAGAGGAGCAGCTTTGTGCCCCACTGCATTCCCAGAGGAGCAGCTTTCTTCCCACTGCATTCCCAGAGGAGCAGCTTCCTTCCCCACTGCATTCCCAGAGGAGCAGCTTTCTTCCCACTGCATTCCCAGAGGAGCCCAGGCCCATCTCCCCCAGCCCTGGAGCTCCAGAGGAAAACTCCCCCCTTGTGCAGGATCCTGCTCCAGCAGAAGCACAGCTGGCACTGCAGGAGGGCTGAGCCACCCTGGGATGGGGCTGCTGCCACCTCCCTGACCCACAGGGAGTCAGGGCATGTTCTGACTCTGGCACTGTTGGTTTTCTTGTCTTGTACTATTGCTTTTTTATATTTAATTTTCCGATTAAAGAACTGTTATTCCTATTCCCATATCTTTGCCTGAGAGCCCCTTAATTCCAAAATTATAACAATTGGGAGGGAGGGGGTTTGCATTTTCCATTTCAGGGGAGGCTCCTGCCTCCCTCAGCAGACACCTGGCTGTTCAGACCAAGACAGTCCGACCTTGGCCGGGTCAGAGGTGCCCACGGCCGCTCCCCCCGTTCCCCCAGCCCGTTTCCCTCACGTTCTCCTGCCGCATGGCGCTGGCGGTGCGGGCGATGACCTCGATGGCCGCGTCCCGGCGGCAGCGGTCGATGAAGATGATGCCGCTGAGCCAGCAGGCCCAGCCCACCGTGCCCAGGTACAGCAGCTCCCGCTTGGCGATGGGCACGCAGCGCTCGGGAATCACCTCCACCATTCCTGGGGTACGGACAAGGCCGTTAACACCTTCCCAACCCGCGGCATTGGCAGCAGAAAAATCACCTGGGAAAACTGCTTGTAAGCGGAACCCCAGGGTGGACAAACCAGCTGCACATCAGCAATAAATTTTGCAGCTCAGCCAGTCCTGAGAGGTGATAACTGCAGAGAGGAGCTCTCTGGAGAGGCCAAGTTACATCAGTGCACAGATTAATTGGTAATTTATACCCTAATATAATTTATACTCAATGAATCTTTCACACCCTAATAAAGGACCAGGCTGAGGTTATTTTAGCCTTGACTTAATGGACTTTAAGCTGTCCCCAGGCTCAGTACCACCCTGTGGCATCACCTCCCGCTGTCCCTCCTCTCCCTGCAGCACAGCCCTGTCCCAGAAGCTCTCCTGGTCCGCTCCCAGCACTCATGCCTGCCCTAATGCCGGTGCTGACTCCCCAGAGTGATCCTGGTGCGCCCTGGGTCCCCAGAGGCGCCGGGACCCCCGCGCTGCCCCCACGCACCCATGAGGTCCAGGGAGGCCTGGTGGTTGCAGACGATCACGAATGGCCCCGGCAGCCGCAGCAGCTCCGAGCCCCTCACCCGCATCCTGATGCCGTAGAACCGCTTGAGGGGCAGGAGCGCAGCCCGCAGGAGCCTGCCAGAGATAAGGGAGGAGATAAGGGACGAGATAAAGCGGAGGGAGCCGCTGGGAGCGGCTCTGCACCGGCTGCGGGGCTGGGCTAGGAGCTCGGGCTCAGGGAGGCTCGGAGCCAGCACGAGGTGTTGGCAGGGAAAAAAACGGGACTTTGATGTCCAGGGATGATGGGAAAGCAAAAAGAGAAGGGGATGGAGATAGGGAAGTGATGCTGTCGAGGCAGGACGGAATGAAATGACTCTACTTCAGAAGGCGAGAGAGTAGAACTTTGATTTATTTCAAATACACCGCTCTTTTTATAGAGAGCTTCGTTTAGACCAATTCTATTGGTCCTGAAGTAAAAACATTTCTCAGCATTGGTGTGCAGTGAATGATGCCCAGTGGCAAAACTTACCTATAGACAATGTGAACAACAAGACAGATAAAGAATTATTTACATTATTTCCCAACAGTTTCTCAGGCTTCTGCCTGGTTAGAAACCTTCGTTTTCTCTCTGCCTGAACTGAGAATACCCACAGGGAAGGGGACAGGGATGGGATTTCACATCCCAGCAAGGACAATCTGTCTCTGCCCCGGGGAGGCTCCCCAGGGGCTCAGCTGGATCCGTGTGTGGATGGAAATCCAGATCGCAGAGGCAGATTCCAGCCGAGAGGAGCTGAGCTGGGCATGGCTGAACCCTGGGGATGGAGGCCAGAGGGACGTGGGGGACCCCAGGCACTGCCCCTGCTCCGCTTTGTGTGGTGGGGGAAGGGAAAACCAGCCCGATGCACGGCTATGGGGAATCACAAATCGCTCCACCGGACCCGCAGTGTCGGGGAGAGATGGATCTGAGCCGAAAAGTGGTGTCACATCCCGGGAAGGCTGGACAGGAGGAGGAATATCGGGATGGCAGCGATGGGTGATGCTCAGTATGGGAATAATGAGAGGAGTGGAGGAAGGAGGGAGCACAGGGATTCCAGCAGCCGTGGAGATAAAATCCTGGGACACGTCAGCGTTGGAATGGGGCACCGTCCGACCCACAGAGGGTCTGTGCCAGGGTCCCACATCTGTCACTGCCCCCAGGGGACAGCGCAGGGCGCAGTGAAAGACTCGGCACCAGGCAGGGTGAGGAGGGAGAAGGAGGCACAGGGCCCGTGGTATCTCCCCCATCCCTCGGGAGCCGCAGGCTCGGAGATCCCTGAGGATCCGAGGAGAAACAGCGCCCCAAAGCCAGGACTAATGACAGGGAAGCGCTCGGTGGGACAAGATAAGGCAGCGCTGATAAGGCAGGTGAGTCACAGCCTCCCTCGGGGGTTCGCACTGGGCCGGAAGGGCAGCCCGGGATGCGCCCGGCGTTCCTGCCGGGAAGGAGCCGGGACAGGCTGCGGCACCTCCGAACCACGGACCGGTACCACAGAACCTCGGACCGGCACCACCGAACCTCGGACCGGCACCACCGAACCCCGGACCGGTACCACAAAAACTCGGACCGGTACCACTGAGTTTCGGACTGATAACACCGAACCTCGGACCGGTACCACAGAACCTCGGACCGGCACCACAGAACCTCGGACCGGTACCACCGAACCTCGGACCGGTAATACCGAACCCCGGACCGGCACCACCGAACCTCGGACCGGTAATACCGAACCCCGGACCGGCACCACCGAACCCCGGACCGGCACCACCGAACCTCGGACCGGCACCACCGAACCTCGGACCGGCACCAGCGAACCCCGGACCGGTAACACAGAACCCCGGACCGGCACCACCGAACCCCGGACCGGCACCACCGAACCCCGGACCGGCAGCACAGAACCTCGGACCGGTAACACTGAGTTTCGGACTGATAACACCGAACCTCGGACCGGTACCACCGAACCTCGGACCGGTACCACCGAACCCCGGACCGGTACCACCGAACCTCGGACCGGTACCACCGAACCTCGGACCGGCACCACCGAACCTCGGACCACGCTCCCGCCGCGGGCCGGGATCCCTCGGCACAAATCCTCAGTGAGTGTCTCAAGCTGGGATATTTTCCCTGTGTAATTACATCCTCCTGGTGTGCTCATCCGGCCCGGGAATCCAGCAACGCGACTGGAACACCCTGAGAGCGCCCAAGCCTTCCTCGGATGTTGCACAGCGATGTTATCTCCTTATCTCCCCGGTGTTATCTCCCTGCTTCCGCCCTCGGGAGCAGAGTCAGGACATGGCTGTGATGGGGACAGGGCTGTGCCCCTGCCAGGTGATGGCACCAAGACATGCCAAAAACATAAAAACTGGGATCGTTTGTGTTGGAAAGGGCCTTAAACTCAGCCAGTATCACCCCCAGCCATGGGCAGGGACACCTCCCACTGTCCAGGGCTGCTCCAAGCCCCATCCAGCCTGGCCTGGGACACTTCCAGGGAAGGGGCAGACATGGAATAATCTGTGCCAGGCCTCTCCACCCTCAATCCCTCTGCCCAAGTGCTGTTCCTGGGCTCTCATGGACAAAACCAGAGCCAGCGGCACAGAACTGGGCATGTATTTGCCCCCTGCCCTGATGGTACCTCCAAACCCCCCTGTTACCCACCCAAGTGATGACCCCAACATTGCCATGGCCAGGAATAATCCCATTTATGTTATTTCATTCCTCAGAGACCACAGATCCCAACTCCAGCGTGGCCTGACTCTCCCTGGGTACAGCCAGCACCTCTCACACCACCAGCTGCACTTCAGTGCCCCACGGATGTGAGCACAGCCCTGGCCTTGGCCCCAGGGCTCTGCCGCCAGCTGTGACCCAGCTGTGGCTCCAGCCAGGGCAGGGCAGAGCCTGTGGCCACAAACCGCGGGATTTGAGCCCCAGCCAGCTCTCCCCACCCCCAGCCCGCGCTCACCTCATGTTCTCCACGGAGCGTCCCCGGAGGGCGGCCAGGGGGGACAGCAGGGTGGCCAAGGCCACGATCCAGCAGTTGAAGAAGGCCACCTTGCAGAGGAACTGGAAGGGGCGGCTGCGCCTGTAGAGCAGCAGCGCTGCCAGGGGCAGGAGCAGCAGCCCGTGCAGCAGCAGCAGCAGCAGCAGCAGCTCCATGGTCCAGCCCCAGCGCAGCCCGGGCCGGCAGCGGGGCCGGGGCCGCCGAGCGGGGCAGGTGAAGCGGGAGGATCCTGCGTGGGCGGCCGGGCCTGCCCTGGGGAGGGCTCCCCGTGCATCTCGGCCCCAGGATGGAGTGGCTCGTGGAACCAGGACACCCACCCAAGGGTGGAGAGTGGCCGTGAGTCACACGGGGACCCTGAGTCACCCGAGCTGTCACCGCTGTCACCTCCTGGGCTATTGAAAGCCATTGCAGTGACTCCTGAGCGATAAGCTCAGACCTGCTGCTCACTAAAGTGTCCCTGCCCCGGGAATCTCTCCTGGCCACAGGGCTGCCAGCCCTGGGAAAGGGCGTCTCAGCTGGCGGGGACAGCAGGAGCTGTCCTGGTCCATGGCCATGGCCCCAGCCGGGCTGGGCACAGTCACCTGCTGGCACCCAAACCTCACCCTGCAGAGCACCAGAGGATTGGAAGACATCTCCCAGCTGGAATGGCAGCAGGAATGTGGCACCGCTGCTCCCCATCCCTTGCTCAGTTTGGGCAGCAGAAGCCCCTCTGTCCTTCCCCTCCCAAAGCCCAGCATCTGTCCCCAGGGTCCCACAGTGCCTGCGGGAGGTGCCAGCCTTTGGCCCAGTTGGCAGCCAGGAGCTGTGTTGCATGAGGTGTTTTCACAGGTGTAATTAGCACAGGCTGTAATTAACCTTTCCTCCTGCTCTGGTGCCTTGCAGGATCCAGGCCAGCCCCCTGGAAACTCCTGGAACCAAGTCCTTGTCACAGCAGAGACACTGGGCCAGTGTCAGCCCCCAGCAGCCTCTCCCAGCCCTGCTGGTCCGTGGCCCAAATCAGGGAATCCCAGAATTCCAGGAGGGTTTGGGTGGGAAGGACCTCACAGTCCACCCAGTGCCACCCCTGCCATGGCTGGGACACCTCCCACCACCCCAGGGTGCTCCAAGCCCCGTCCCACCCGGCCTGGGACACCTCCAGGGCTGGGGAAGGAGGGACACCCCTGCACCCCTGCATCCCTGAATTCCTGCATCCCTGCCTCCTGCATCCCTGCATCCCTGCCTCCTGCATCCCTGCCTCCTGCATCCCTGAATTCCTGCCTCCTGCATCCCTGCCTCCCTGCCTCCTGCATCCCTGCCTCCCTGCCTCCTGCATCCCTGCCTCCCTGCCTCCTGCATCCCTGCCTCCCTGCATCCCTGCCTCCCTGCATCCCTGCCTCCCTGCATCCCTGCATCCCTGCCTCCCTGCCTCCTGCATCCCTGCCTCCCTGCCTCCTGCATCCCTGCCTCCCTGCATCCCTGCCTCCCTGCATCCCTGCCTCCCTGCATCCCTGCCTCCTGCCTCCCTGCATCCCTGCCTCCCTGCCTCCTGCATCCCTGCATCCCTGCACCCCTGTATCCCTGCCTCCCTGAATTCCTGCATCCCTGCACCCCTACATCCCTGCATCCCTGCCTCCCTGCACCCCTGAATTCCTGCATCCCTGAATTCCTGCATCCCTGCCTCCTGCACCCCTGCACCCCTGCCTCCCTGCATCCCTGTGCTGCTGTCCAGACCCTCAGCTCAGCCCTGACCTGGGGCTGGAGCTGGGAGCAGTGAGATCCCCTCGTGCCTCCCCCCAGAAGCCCAGCGGGGTCTCGGGGGTGTCCCAGTGCCCCAGGCCCCTCCTGGGCAGGTGCCAGCTCCGCTGGGACCATGCCAGCCTCAGCCCAGCCTCGCTGTGCCCAGGGCTGCCCTTCCACGCCTGCCCGTCCCCTGGAGTGGCAGAGATGTCCCCAGGCTCTGCCCATGCCGGAGGGTGCCCCAGTTTGACCAGTAACCCCGGGGTTACATCCACCAGGAGTGTTGCAATGCCCATTGCTTCACCCTCCCATTCCTCTCATTATTCTCATATTAAAGCAAAGATTGGGTCACATCTCGAGCCCACCCTTCCTGTCCAGCCCACTCCAGGTGACTCCTCACCTCCTCCTCCCCGTTCTGTGTCACGGGGGAACCTTTGGGCACCAGCCTGGTCTCCATCAAACCCAGCTTTGCTTTTAATGATTCCTTCAGTCCCTCCCAGCTGGAGGAGCTGGGCCTTCCCGAGGGAATCCAGCGTGATCCTCCTGCTCCACATTTGGGAGCTCCTCCAGGGGCCTTCCCGAGGGAATCCAGCGTGATCCTCCTGCTCCACATTTGGGAGCTCCTCCAGGGGCCAGCCTGGGGAAGATCTGCCCATTCCAGAGCACAGGGAAGGTAAATTCTGCCTTCCACTGGGCAGAGGAGAGGCAGGGCAGCCCAAGGAGGGGGTTTAAAGTGCCTTTCTGCATCCTCAGAGCTCCAGACCACTGGCCCCAAGGTCTCCTGCCAGGAGCTCTACTCCAGGGAGAAGCCTGGAACCCGCCTAGGGCACAGCAGGGCTGGCACCTCTCCATGGGGCTGGCGAGGTGGCACAGGCAGGGGACAGCTCCCAGCACACAAAAGCCTTCACTCCCCACGTCCTCCTGCTTCCTGGAGTGCAGAGGGGTCCTGAATCCTGGGAAACTCCAGCATTCCCCTCTCAGGATGCTCTGCAGACCACATCCCCACCAAGACCCAGCTCTGCCTGTGCTCAGCCAGGAGATCTCACTCTGGAGCTCCAGCACCCCCTCACCCCCAGACCTGACAGACCCCCAGGACTCCTCTCAGCCCCCCAACCACTGACAGACCCCCAGGACTCCTCTCAGCCCCCCAGGCACTGACAGACCCCCCAGGACTCCTCTCAGCCCCCCAGGCAACCCCCCAGGACTCCTCTCAGCCCCCCAAGAACTGACAGACCCCCCCCAGGACTCCTCTCAGCCCCCCAAGCACTGACAGACCCCCCAGGACTCCTCTAAGCCCCCCAAGCACTGACAGACTCCCCAGGACTCCTCTCAGCCCCCCAAGCACTGCCAGACCCCCCCAGTACCCCCAGACACTGCCAGACCCCCTCCCCCCATGGCTCTGGGTGCCCCCAGCCCCGAGGAAGCCCCTGCACTCAGGCACAGAGCCACCAGCCCATGTAATTACAGATGCTTAATTAGCGACAGCAGGGTGCTCTCTTAACAAAGCAAATTAATTACAGGCAAGGCTGCATCGAGAGCTGGAGGGACTAATGAAGGCTGGGAGCATCGTCTGTGCCCACCCCGGGAAACAGCACAGCCTGTGCCACCCCAGCCTGGTGGCTCAGGGGGGCACAGGGTCTGGCTGGCACCGGGGCTGGGACAGGGCTGGGACAGGGCTGGGACACCCCTGCCCTGGGACCACCACAAACCACGGGAAGAGCAGAGCATCCATCTGGGACTGGGGCATCGAGGGGGGCAGAGCTCACAGCCCCCGCTCCTCCGCGCTGTAGTACTCTGTGGGATGGGATGGGATGGGATGGGATGGGATGGGATGGGATGGGATGGGATGGGATGGGATGGGATGGGATGGGATGGGATGGGATGGGATGGGATGGGATGGGATGGGATGGGATGGGATGGGATGGGATGGGATGGGATGGGATGGGATGGGATGGGATGGGATGGAGACAGGGAGCAGGAAAGCTCAGCCCAGGTTGATGGAAGCTCGAGGAAAGCTGCTCCAGTCGGGCCAGTGGGGACAATGTCCCCAGGCTGTCCTTACCCGCTGCTGGGGGGACGCCGGGTCCCACTGTCCCGGTGGCACTGGGGGGCGGCGGGGGGGGCACAGCTCTGCTGGAGAGGGGTGAGGACGGGTCAGTGGGGATGGATGGTGTCCCCTGGAGGTGGTGGCACAGCGGGGAGGCCCCGAGCCCCAGCCCGGCACTCACCGAGGCGAGGAGCGCAGGAAGCGCACGGGGACCGGGCCGGGCGTGGGCCAGGGGATGTAGTGATGGTGGAAAACCACGGCCTCCTCTTCCTCCTCGCCCTGCCAAGGCCCCGGCAGCGCCTGTGGTGGGGACGGAGGCAGGGCTGGGCCGGGCTCCGGGGCTCCCAAAGCGCCGCTGGCCGGGATCGCCCCTGCTGCGTGGGCTCCATCCCACACAAAGCCATGGGAACACGGCTGCCGGGGACACGGCGGGGTGGCAGCCCCACAGATGGGGCCGAAACCCCGTGGGAAGAGCCCTTGGATCTGTCTGAGAGGTGTTTGGGCAGTCCCGGCTGGCCCCGCACCGCTGGCACTGGGAGGGCAGGGGGCGAGTGCCAGGAGCTGCCAGCTGGCCGCGAGCTCAGCAGCTGCCAGAGCCCAGCCCGGCCCCAAAAGCTGCATTGTTCCCCCCAGGGGGATGAAATGTTTGATACGGTTTTGGTTCGAGATGGATTTTTCAATGGCAGCCCCTGCAGAGCCTTCCTGCCACATTGGGCTGCGCTTCCAGAGGCTCCCGGCTCTTCCCAGCTGGGCTGAACCTCTGCCCGAGGCCGGACTGGGCTGAGCTGTCGGAGCTGGGGCCTGAACCAAGCCCCAAAACCCCAAAGGGCTGCTCTGAGCTGGGCTGGGACCACCCAGGGGCTGCAGGCAGAGGGTCCCAAAGCAGCACGGGGTGATCCTGACGAGCCCTGGGCACCCCCCTCTGCCCCCTTTGCCCACCCAGCCCCTCCAAGCCCCACCTGGGCAGGGGCTGGGGCTGGCCCCGCACCCAGGGGCATCAGAGCCGCCACGGCCAGGCCATGCATCAGCAGCTGGTGCATTTGGGAGGCTTGAATCAGCATCAGCTCCATCAAATCTGCCAGAGAATTGGAGATTCTGCGTCAGAGAGAGAGCAGATGGAGGGCAGGAGGAGCAGAGCCTGGGATGGGTGCCTGGGATGGGGCGGCCCCACGGCTCCTCCCTGTTCCCAAGCAGTGGGAGCAAAGCCAGACTTCCCCCGCCCCGGTTTGGAAGCCTCATGTGGTGTTTAAAAATTATTTTGCTTGGATAAGGCTTGAAAATTGCCGTATTTGAGCCTTTTCTTCCTTGCACACATCTGGGCTGCCTCACGAGGGGTGATTACTGGGGCTGGAGGCACCAGAGTTTCCTCCCATTCTGGGGGAGTTTCTCCAGCCCGGGCAGTGCTCAGGGCCCTGGGCAGCCCCGGGCAGGGGCAGCGGACAGAGCACGCCAGGGTCAGCCCTCAGAGCCCCGGGGCAGGAGCTGGGGGTGAGCCCAGGGTCCCAACCCCACTCCTGGGAGCCGGATCCGAGTCAGGAGCAGGGTGGGGATGCTCAGTGCCTCCTCAGCTCCCGCCTGAGCAGCTGGGCCTGGGGCAGTGTCCCTGTCCCCTTGGCTGGAGGCCACACTGAAGGTGGCTGCTGAGGCCCATCCACACAGAGGAAACCCCAAATCTGCCTCTACACCCCTAAAAAACAGCCCCACTTCCTGCAGGTGTGGAATTCCCAGAGCAGATTCTTATAAACCTGCTGGATTCCCCTGAGATTCCGCTGGCTTCATCCACCCAGAGCAGCTGTGGTGCCCCTGGAGCCCTGGCAGTGCCCAAGGCCAGGTTGGACACTGGGGCTGGAGCAGCCTGGGACAGTGGGAGGTGTCCCTGCCATGGCAGGGGTGGCCCTGGGTGATCCTTAAAATCCCATTCTGGGATTCCCTGGTTCCATGCCCTGGAGTAAAGAAGGTTTTGGACCACCCCATAGTCCATGTGCCAGATCCCCAGAGGCTCCAGGGCTGCCAGGCTGGCCCCAGGACACCAGGAGGTGGCTGTCCCTCCAGGCAGAGCACCCAGCACCTCCTGGGACTCTGCTGTGGGAGCAGGGAGTGCCCCAGGGCTGCTGGCAGCTCCACCCGTCCCACAGGGGCCAGCCTGGCTCTCTCTGTTCTTTCCACACCCATTTGCAGCATCCTTTTTCCTCCCTGGATTTTTAAGGACAGCTCCAGCTTCCCCCTCCCCACAGCAAAAGTGACTTTGCCTGTGGTGTGTCCCCAGTGGTGACAGCTCTTTGTCCCTGCTGTCCCTGGTCCCCACAGCCCCATGCCCTGCTGCCAGCCCCCCAGCCCAGACTGCAGCCCGGGGGCACCGGGGTGGGTGAAGTCGCTGCGGGCAGTGGCACAGCCTGGGGTTCCAGTGCCACTCAATCCCACCTGGCAGCTCAAGGAGCCTGTCGGACCTGGGGATGCCAGCAGGAAATGGGGGTTTGGAGAACAAAAACAGGTGAATTTAGGGAAAAAAAAAACCAAAAAACAAAAACCCTCCAAAACAAACAAACAAACAAAATAACAAAACAAACAAACAAACAAATAAAAAAAGAAACCCAAACAAAAACCCAAACAAACAAACAAAACAACAAAAACAAAAAGAAACCCAAACAAACAAACAAAACAACAAAAACCCAAAAAGAAACCCAAACAAACAAACAAAACAACAAAAACCCAAAAAGAAACCCAAACAAACAAAGAAAACAACAAAAAACCAAAAAGAAACCCAAACAAAACCCCAAACAAACAAACAAACAAAAAACCAACAAAAAAAAAAAGCCCCAAACTGTTCCCAGACTTGGTAACCCCCCACAGTTCGCAGCCCGAGGGGCTGAACGTCCCTCCAAGGCCGGGATGGACATTCCCGAGGGCGGCTCGGGGGTTCCAGTGCCACTCAATCCCACCTGGCAGCTCAAGGAGCCTGTCGAACCCCGGAGCTCCCTGGGAATGCCAGCAGGAAATGGGGTTTTGGAGAACAAAAACAGGTGAATTTAGGGGAAAAAAAACCAAAACAAAACCAAAACAAAACAAAACCACCAAAACAAACAAACAAACAAAACACAAACAAAAACACAAACAAACAAACAAACAAAAAACCAAACCACAAAAAAGCCCCAAACTGTTCCCAGACTTGGTAACCCCCCACGATTCTCATCCCGAGGGGCTGAACGTCCCTCCCAGGCCGGATGGACGTTCCGAGGGCGCTCAGCCCCGCTGCCCTCCCGCTGCCGAGGCCGGGAAGGAGCGGGGCCGCCCGGCCGGGCTCGGCGCTGCCCCCGGCTCTGCACGCACCTCCCGGGCCGGGCGGGGGTCCCGGCGGGGCGGCCCCGGGCCCGGGCGGCGGCAGCAGCAGCAGCGGCGGCGATCCCACGGCCAGGGGCTGCGAGAAACGGGGACGGCACATTCAGGGTTAATCCAGCCCTGGCACGGGGCACGAGGGACAGAGGGGACACGGCCGGGACAGGCGGGAGCGGGACAGGGCTGGTGACGGGACAGAGGGGATGGGGCTGGTGGTGGGACAGAGGGGACGGGGATGGTGGGACAGAGGGGATGGGGCTGGTGACGGGACAGAGGGGACGGGGGTGGTGGTGGAACAGAGGGGATGGGGCTGGTGGGACAGAGGGGATGGGGGTGGTGGGACAGAGGGGATGGGGGTGGTGGGACAGAGGGGACGGGGGTGGTGGTGGAACAGAGGGGATGGGGATGGTGGTGGGACAGAGGGGACCGGGGTGGTGGCAGGACAGAGGGGACGGGGGTGGTGGTGGGACAGAGGGGACGGGGATGGTGGTGGGACAGAGGGGACGGGGATGGTGGTCTGAGGGATTATGATCCGAGGGGGAACAGGACCAGAGCCCCGGAGGAGGGAATGGTCGCTCTCCCCTGGTTTTTCCAGGGACACCGCCCTCCCGTCCTGGGTGACTTCCAGACCTGGGGAGTCCCCCCCTCTGGGGACAGGTCCCTGGGCACGGATGGCCTTTCGGGGTCTGCAGGGCGTTTGCGAACCCCCAGGCTTTGGGCACCCCCGAGCCCAGCCCCTCTCCCATCCCCACCCTTATCCCATCAGTGCAGAGGCAGAAGCGTTCCGGGGCTCACCCTGGGTGGGACAAAGGGGGTCCCCGCCGGGGCGGCCCCCCAGAGCCCGCGGGGGTCCCCGGCCGCGCCCCCCCGCATGGCTCCGGTGCGAGGGGAGCGGAGCTGCGATCCCGGGATGGTCTCCGGGGCTCCCGGGGAAAACAAACCCTGCCCGGAGGGAGGCTCCGCGCCAGGAATGTGCCCGGGCTGCTCCTCCCGGCGGGAAATCCCCGGGAAAGGCCCCGGGGATACCGGCCCGGGGTGTCCGTGTGTCCCCGCCCTGTCCCCGACCCGGAGCCTCGTGGTGAGGGGGTGAAAGGAGCGGCTAATGGCATCTGAGCCTCATCAGGGAATGGGAGGGACGCTGGATTAATGAAATCTATGAAAGGGACTTCATTAGGGATGGGACCCCCAAAGTCTCCCCTAAAATTTGGGTGACAACCCCAGAGACCTCCAAAATTCTCAGCTAGAACTGGGGTTGGGAACCACAGAAACCTCCTCAAAATCTCCCCAAAACTGGGGATGGGGCACCCGAAGTCTCCCCAAAATTTGGGATGGGACCCCCAGAAACCCCTGTAAAATTTGGGATGGGATCCTTAAATATCTCCCCTAATACTAGAGGATGGGACTCCTAGAAACCCCCAAAAGTCTCCCCAAAATTTGGGATGGTCCCCAGGATATCACCCAGCCCCAGTGCCACCCCAGGGCTGCTCCCCAGGATGTCACAGCCTCGGTGCCACCTGGGGTCCCCGGGGTGTCCTTGTCCCCATGCCAGGTCCCCCGGGACTGTGACCCGGGAACGGGCAGGAAGTGCTGGCAGCAGAGCCTGGCTCCAGGCTGCTGCCGGAGCCCCCCAAAATTTGGGATGAGACCTTCAGAAACCTCCCCCAAAACGGGATGAGAGCCACAGAACGCCCCCAAAATCTCCCCAAAACTGGGGACAGGCACCAAACATCTTCCCCAAAATTCAGATAGGAACCCCAGAGACCTCCAAAAGTCTCCCCAAAATTGGGGGTGGGAACCACAGGAGCCCCCAAAGCCTGGGCAGTGCTCGGGAGCCCCAGAGCCCTGCCGTGGGTCCTTCTCAGGCTGCTGCCCAGGCTCCTGGCAGGGAGCTCCTCCCAGGAAATCCTGGGAAAGGGGAGTCTGCAGGAAACACCAAATTCCAGAAAAATGCACCCTGTGCCCCCACAGATCCCCGCCCCTGCCACCCCCGAGCCTCAGGCCGCTCCCTGGATTTCCATGGATATCACATCCCAGACCTGGGAGCTTTTCCCAGGGTTTCAGCCCGTGGCCAGCTCTGCTCGGGAGCAAATCTCTCCCAAAACTCTCGTTCTGCCCCAGAACTCCCCAAATCCGCCCCCCAGCCCCCAAATCCCCCCCTTGAGACCGAGCCCGGCTGCCTCAGCTCACAGACCTTGGCTCCAGTCCGGGCTATTTTCTGCTTGATTGGGTTTTTTCTGTGTTCCTAATGTTTCCGACCCCCCCCTGGATTGCTTTTCTGCCTTTTGTTATAATCCTAAATTCCCATTATTTGCCATTTAATTGCTGTGCTGCTTCCTGCCCGTTTTGGCAGAGCCTGACTGGGCTGATCCCGATCTTATCTCCCCTTAGGAGGGATTCAAGCACCGGGATGGGGGTGAGGAGGAGGAGGAGGAGGAGGAGGAGGCAGCTGTGGCTCTGCTGTCCCCAGGTCACCTTCCCCAGGTGGGAATGATGCCCCAGCTGGAGGTGCCACCTCTGCTGCCCCCCTCATCTGGCTCACCCACAGAGGTGACAGTGACAGCCCTGGGCTGGTTCGTGTTCCCACCTCGGACACACAAAACACCCACTGGGAAAACCCAGGAGAGATCAGGGGAAACCCAGGAGGGATCAGAGGATTCTCCAGCTCTGATGAGGACAGATCCTGCTGTCCCCTGGAAGAGCCACCCAGCTCCAAGGGCATCCTGAGGGTGCCCAGCAGAGGATTTGCTGCCTTTGGAAGCTCTGGAGCCCCTCTTTTACAGCAGCTCTGAGATTTCTCCTGGGAACCCTCAAAACTTGCCCCTACCCCAGCCCAGGGCTGGGATCCCAGCCCTGTCCATGCTCAGGCACAGGCTGAGTCCCAGGAGCTTTGGACCAGGGATTTTCCTTGTCAGGACCAAGGAAAGCCTTGGGATGGGGTGAGTCCCTGGGGACCAGGAGGGACAGAGACCCTCTGCCACCCCTTGGGCCGTGTGGGTGCTGCTGCAGCTCCTGGGATGGGATCAGTGGGATCCAGCCCCTCTCTGTGGGGTGTCGGAATCTGTGGGTATTGGTGATTCCGAGATTGTAGAAAGTCTCTGTCTTTCAGCCCCGCTGCCAAAGCAGAAGCCATAATTGGTCTGTGCTGGTTTCAAGGTTGTTTATTCTGTTTATCTCTAACATGTTCTGCTGCCCTGCCGCAGCTCTGTCCTGCAGGGCAGCGTGTGGGGCTCTGCCCTCAGTGGGATGGTACAAACATTAAATACCACAAACTACCTGTGCTGGATTTACAATAACGTGCCAATATCTGTCACCTACGTTGGACAGTGTGTCCCCAGCCTGAACCAACAGAAAAATGCCAACACCACAGTGAAACATGGAGGGCATGAAGAAGGAGAAAAAGGACAAGGCACACCCAATTTCCTCCATCTTGTCCCCTTTGGACCCCTCATCTAGAATCCTAAAATTTTACTTTTGCACCCGTGTCACACTTAATTATTACTCTTATCAAACACTCAAAGCTTGTAATTCATCCTGTAAGATTGAAAACTCTTTTCCATGGACAGAGATCACAGACAGTGTCTCTGGGGGCTCTGTCCAGGGGGGTTCCTGACCCCTGCCAGGGTCCCAGACCTGCCAGGGCAGCCAGAGGGAAGCCCTGGACTCCCACAGTGGGGCATCTCCCAACTCTGGCAACAATGAGCAGAGGCAGGGATGGGGGCAGGAGCACCGGGGAGGGGAGGAACCGAGCCCTGAGCTGCCCTGGAGGTGACAGCACATCCCTTGTGCCACTTCCCTTCCCGGGAGACAAGCGGGGCCAGAGAGATTCCCAAAGTGAGGAAACCCCGGCAGGATCAGCAGCCTTGCTCAAGCCTTGAGGGAGATGAAGAAACATTGAAGGTGAGGCAACACATCCCCCCACCCCTGCTGCCTCCCAGGGCCTCCCAAAACCAGTCCCAGACCAGTTCGTCACTGCACACGCGTGTCGGATCCCCGGCCTGCTTCAGGGGCTCTGTGTGGTGGAAAAGTCTCTCCTCCAGCCCATGCTTCCAAAGAAAGGCTCAGCAGTCTCTCTTGTTCGGTCTCAAGGCAGTTTATTGCAAGTTATCTGAAAGATTTTCTCCTTGGGCTGCTGTGGTTTGCTCACAGCTCAGGCAGAGGCACACACACACCCTGACATCCTCTCTGACTCCCGACTGCTTCTTCTCTCCCCCTCTGCCCAGGGCTGCTGCTGTCTTTTATATGGTACATTACGTGTTACATGGGTACAGTTTGTCCCCAATGCCTATTACCTATATTAAATGGTGCTTTTCTATCTTTTATATGGTACATTACGTGTTACATGGGTACAGTTTGTCCCCAATGCCTATTACCTATATTAAATGGTGCTTTTCTACTCTAAACCAATCTGTGAGTGCCAACATCACCAAGAACATGGAGGTAAGGAAGGAGAAAGAGGAGGAACAGGACCGGCCTACATTCCTCCATCTTAAAACCTCTGACCCCCATGTACAAAGTAAAAAACCCCCTGTACAAGTGCTAAAACCCCCCCTGTACAGCACTCAAAAATTCTTCCCTCTACTTTGTAACTACTACTATAATATCTAAACTTTTGTGACTCCTTGTTCCACCTGCAAGGTTGGTAAATCATTCCATGGCTCAAATCCAAAATCACAGCTGTTTTCAGCTGCCTGCCAGGGTGTAAAATGCCTCTGACCAGGGCCTGGAGCCTCCAAAAATGTCTGAGGGACATTTTGAGTTCCAATAGACGGGGACAAACCCTGGCTGTGGAGTGGCAGAGTGGGAGCTGCTGTCCCCTGGGCTGTCCACCATCACGCTGTCGCATTCAGGCACTCAGGACACACCTCTGGGGACGCTCTCTGTGTCTGGAACTGTGAATGGCTTTAAGCTCCTCATTTTGAACGATAACTACAAAAAATCCCCTTTCCCTTTCCAGGAGGTCTCAAGCTGCCAGTGCTTTGATCGTCATCGTCCCCAAGCTGTCACCCAGCCATCGAATTCTCCTTCCCAGACTTGCTCCTTCCAGGGAGGAAAAGCCCAGGCAGAGGCGGGGGGCCCGGGGCAGGGACCCCATCCGGCACATCCCCGGTGGGATGGAGGTGGCACAATCGGTGATCCCAGCCCTCCCCAAGGAGCCTTTGGCAGGTCCCCTCAGTGACTTCCTTTGCTCTGGAGCGGCGGAGTCGCCCCGAATCGCGGTGGGGTCGGTGGCAAGGGCCGGGGCAGCCTCTGGGGACATCCCCCGGGGCCTCGTTGGGGACACAACCACCGGCCCCCGCTCCCGGCCGTGCTGCCACACCGCAGCCGTGTGCCCAAGGCAAATCCTCCTGTCCTGTCCTGTCCCGTCCTGTCACCACTGCCACACGAATGGACATGGCCACCCCAAATGGGGCCCCTGGTGGGAGCGCAGCACGGGCTGGGTTTGGGGCTGGGATTTGCAATCCAGAAGTTTGTCCTTGTTTCTGTCCCTCTTGCTGCTGCCGAAGGGGACAAGGAGCCCAGGCCAGCAGGCCGGGCAGGTCACCCCCGCCGGGAGGAGGTCAGGCCACCAGCGCTGCCCCAAATCCTTCCTCTTCCCAGCTGTGGAGCAGCTCGGGAACGCGGGCTGGGAGCCCCCGAAGGACCCCGGGGCTCTCCATCCTCCTGGGAAAGGGGAGAGGGGCTCCCAGCCCCAGCCACGCTCTCCCCATTTCCTCTGGCATCCCAACCAGCCCGGCCACCTCCCAGCCTGGGCACAGACAGCCACCAGACAGCACCAAACTGGCCTTGTGGGGACACCCGGGGCACCCGGAGCCACCCCCCACCCCAGAGCAGCCCCCTGGGGCCGTGCCAAGGGGCAGCGGGGTTCTTCCAGCAGGGACGGTTTAATCTGGGTTTAGGCTCCATCCCAAGTGTTGATGTTACGGCTGCTGGAAAATGAAATTATTAATTGGGGTGGTTCTGTTTCAGACGTTAATGACTTTGGTGTCAGCACCACCCCGGGCTCAGC